CACACACACACACACACACTCTCTCTCTCTCTCTCTCTCTCTCTCTCTCTCTCTCACACACACTCTCTGTCTGTCTCTCTCTCTCTCTCTCTCTCTCTCTCTCTCTCTCTCTCTCTCTCCCCCCTAACGTGCTCCCTCCTGGACACTTTTTCCTCCCCTGAGAGCCCGGACAAGGTGTCACTGTAAAACCAAAGCGCCTTCCAGTCCAGAGCTGTGGGAGGATATTTCCTAAATAAGAGGTGATGCTCAGCCACCCAGATGCTTCACTTCTGACCTAAGAGGGAAGCTAGCAAGGTGGAACCACTCTGCGCGAAGGTGCCCTCACAAAGCCACTGCCCAGGAGGCTGGCTGCACTCTGCCACGAGATGCAGGCAGGGCACGTGCCCAACACGGCCCACAGACAGGGGTCCATCACCGCAGCGGCTGCTCTCCCGGGATCCCAGACCTCTGAGTGTCTGCTTCTCAACGGCATTTGCAAGAGAACATAACTCTGGGGGATGCAGGTCAGGGTCATCACAAGCAGCCTACATGGTGCCACCTTCCTGACTCTGTGTTGAAAACCTGCCTGGCTCTTTGCCCATCTCTAGTCTCATTAATTTGTCTTTGGGCCCCTTTACTTTCCATGCCCTGCCCCCCACCCCCCATGAAACGAATGCAACATGTTAAAACACATCTGCAAGCTGGCACAGCTGTAATCTGCATCAGGTTCCCCAGGAAGACTAGACTCTAAACGTAAAACACAAACTCTCTGACAACTTAATTTAAGGCTGTTCTCCAGGAAAGGCTGGGACTGCACACCAGTGCTGGTAAAAACTTTTTGTTTCATAATAGAGTTCCCAGGTCCCAAGGGATAGAACTGCAAGTGATGAAACTTTATTTTTATTTGATTTTCAAAAGATCTATGAGGTTGCTCTATGACCAATCACTTCCTGCTCATAAAATTTAAACATATGGGTTCAAAGACATTAGCCTGGTAATGAAAATGTGCACATCTGTTCCTTCAAGTCTTCATCTTTGGAAAGAACTAAGGCAATGCAGTAAATATAAAAATATGCTGAAACACATATTTAATATTTGGTAATAATCTCCATCTTTCCATCAGACCCAGACAAATTAGACACTTTGGATGGTGTGTGTCTATGAATATGTTTCCTTCCAATTAAAATCCTCTTAAATGTAGTCCATCTTGGATTTCAAGCTTTTTTAGAACTTTCAGGTGGTCGGAGGATCTGAGAGGGGAAAGTGATGTGAACATATGGGAAAAAGAACTGAATGGTCCATGTGTTTAGAATTCATATCTACACCAGGAAATTTTCTACAACTGGAAGGTTTCAGGGCTGTGAAACTCAAAATATGTCATAGGCTGGGCTTACTGCATCCTTCCACAAGCCGAGACCTCCACATCAGAGTTCCTCATGTTAAGGACATTTTCAGTGTCTCCACTTGAAAAATTCAGAACTATCAGAGGAAATACGGTTCTCTTCAACCCTGCTCAGTCTAATAAAGAAATCAGTAACAGAACTATGTGTGTACCTAACCGAGGAAACATAATAGTTAGGTCATATTTACAAAGCTATTCTGAACCTTAATAAAACCTTTTTATTGCGGCATAAAAACAGAGAAGTCTATTCCTATTATCAAACCAAGTGACAACCAATAAAAAACATGCCTCGTAGCCATAGGCAAGCAAGTCTGCTGGGCTGTTGTTGCTGTGGATCTGGGGTTTTTTAACCTCATGTCTGCCTGGGGTGTATTCACTGAATTCATCGAGCTTTTCTTCCATTTCTTGTGCACATCACAAATCCCCGAGGCACTGGTCCTCAGAATTATTCTAACTCATAATTAGGAGACATGAGCCCATTACGACCGCACTTGAAAAGACAGCCAAGCAGGGTGGGCATAGGTCACCCTCTTCCTACGTCACACCAGTACAAAAGCCGGCTATTGTCAGATCTAAAGCAATGTAACCTCAGCGTTGCCTGAAGAGCTCAGAGAACAGAAAATCCCTGTAACTAAAAAGGCTCTCTGTGCATGACAATTGGCTTTGAAGTTTGAGAGAGATCTCATCTCGAAAATCTTCTCAGGAAAAAAACAACTCTGTTTACAGGGATTTGGGGACACACATGGGAGACTGCTAAGATGCTCCGCTTTGCTCCTTATACATTTCTCTGCAGGAAAGAGGCCCCTGTGGGAACCCCACACAAATAAAGAGACCTGATCAGTAAGGAGAAAGAATGGCTGGTCCTTTCTACAACCTCCGGTGTGAATCGAATAATCTCCCTTCAAAGAATTCGTGTCCTGAGCTTCCAAACTTGCTGTGCCAATGACAGACTGGGATGGAGACAGATGAGGCAAGCAGATGCGGGATGCCCGCCTTCCTCACAGCTGCAAGTCAGGGGCTCTGCTGGGATAACGCAGGTGACAAGCAGGGTTTAAACTCCGCGTCCAACCTGCACGGACGCTGCCACCGGACAAACAGCCACAGAAGGCAAAGGGAGAGAGAAGCCTCTTAGAGAAACGCAGGGCCACCTCTCCGGAGCTAGCCCCATGCCACAGGCACAGGAGCCCACGATGCACGCGACAGCACTCCCATACACAGGCGTGCTCCGGCATGATTTCCTCACGGGTCCGTGCCAGTAGGAAAAGTCAAGCCCAAATTCCAGAACCTTTCCAGGAGGTCACTTCAGCCCCTTCCTCTGACATCTAGCTCAGCCCTCCCGGGGCCCACCTCTCCTTTCAAGGTTCTCCACGGCCCCCCTCGCAGAGTGGAACACGCGGTCGGGTGAACGAGGCTATTTTTCCGCCTGGGCGGTCTCACTCAGGGCCTCCAGCCCCAGTCTTCCGGGGAGGCATCTGCTACGAAGGGGCAGCGGGAGGACCTCGGCCGCCTCACGCGCGCGCGTGTACAAGCACAAACGCACACCCACACCCACTCTGCCGGCCGCCCCCATCCATGCACGCCCTCCCACACACTCCCAGCAAAGTTCGCCCCGGGGCCCCAGAGGGCGGCGGCGTCCCCTTACCTTTGGAGAACAGGGCGGCCAGGCTGACGAGCACGGGGGACCAATGGTGCCACAGCGTTCCCATCGTAGACGCGCACATCCCGGAGACCCGGAGCGAGGACCGGCGGCTCCCCGGCGCCGTCTGGGCGGTGAAGACACAGTCGCCAAGCGCCCGGAGGACGGGAGCTGGCCGGGAGGGCGAGGGAGCGCCGGGCTAAGGGCGCGAGCGGCCGCGGCGCCCTGCGTCCTCCTCCCGCCCCTCCATGGCCTGCGGAAGGCGACACCGCGCGCCGCTCCGGAGTTGCTCTCCCGAGTCCAGCGCGCGCGCAGGCAAACCCCACCTCCCTTTCACCCCCACCAGGATATTTTTACTTTCATCCACGCGAATTTGTTCCTTGCCGTTTACCCAGCGAGGACTGGCCCCCAGGTGGCCCCCAAAGGGCGCCTCCGGGAGCGCGGGGACGCGGGGCGGGCGGCTCCGGGTGGGCTAGCGGGCGACGGCGGGGCGGCGGGGCGGCGGCGTCCGGGGCGGAGGCGGTGCGGGGACCTCCGGCCGGGGGGCCGGGCGCCCGGAGCGGGGC